TGTCTTTTTAGGGTCGTGCAAAACATGCGCAAGTTTCAAAATTACATTGGTAGGATGATGGAAGTACCCTGTAGAACATTACAGGATACATGGTAAAGACAAATGCAGAGAAATAAATTAAAGAAGTGGAAGGGAAAATGAGAGGTGACCATAGAAACTCTAACTTGCTTTTGAATTTCTATGACCACCTCTCATTTTTTCTACCACTCCTTTAATTTATTTCTCTGCATTTGTCTTTACCAGAATAAGAAGGAGCAAGGGTTTGTCAAAATAGAACTTGAAGAGAAGGAAATTTTCGAAAAAGAGAGGAAGAGATTGATTCGGAGGAAGGAGAAATATAAGGAGGAGCGCAAGGGTTTGTCAAAATAGAACTTGAAGGGAAGGAAATTTTCGAAAGAGAGAGGAAGAGATTGATTCGAAGGAAGGAGAAATAAGCCGGTAAACAATTTTTTATATAAAAAAACATACATATAAATATATATAAAATTATATATAAAATTATATATAAAATATGTCTATATGTGTATTTCTTTTCTTGCATAATCTCTATTCGTATGTACAGAACAAATAATGAGAAAAATTCGAGAATTGTTTTTCGTAAGGTAGAAATTATACAAAAGAAAGAAAACATATGAATATATTTTATACATAATTATATATATATTATATATATATTTTTTTATAAAAAATATTTAATCGAGAATGGATGGCAGGAGAAATAGAAAAAACTTAATTTGTGAAAAATTAGTATAAAGGAAAAAAGAAATTTAAAAGAAACAAAAAAGTAAGGAAAGATAATAAGAAAAGATAAATTGTTTAAAATATATAATAGATGATACGGGAGAAAAAGAATATCGGAATATCTAAAAAATGAATAGAGAGGTAGTAGATGAAGAAAAGCTAAATTCAGATTTCAAAGTGCTATGAAAGGGAAAACATTAGGAGAAAGAAGAAAAAGATATTGTGTTAAATGTACGGAAAAACTTTAAATTTGACTATATTATATGGAAAAGATACAGGATTTGGGAGGATATAGAAGGAACAGCTAATACGAAATATGCAAATGCTGTAGCATAGAATTGAATAGAAATAAACTAGAGAATTGGAGAGAGTAACAGAAAAAGAGAAGGTAAACTGGAAAAAAGAGAGAATTGAAGAAAGAACAAAAATTAAAAAGGAATAAGAAAGAAAGAAGGGAAAGGAGGAGGAGAAGAAGGAGGAGAGAGAGGAAAAAAGAAGGAGGGAGGGAGAGAGATAGATATATCTAGATATATCTAGAAACGGAAAGGGTAATCGCAAAGATAGATACGCGTGCGGTTACCTAACTTAAACGGAGATGAAACGAACGAAGAAACGAGCACGCTGTGAGACAAGCATGAGTGGCAATTATAGAAGTATTAAAATATGATGTTGCGTGTGTAAATGTGAGGCGTGAATGAGGAAAACGTTGTAGAAATAAGTTGAGAGAAAAGCTAATTGTAAGGAGAATAAAATTGTTTTAACTTTTAACAGAATAAATAAATACATTATTATATTACTTCATAAAATAATTGATTAATTGTTAATATTCTAATTCATGTTTTACTTTTAGATATCAAAATACATTACGGATTGAAAGGCTCCAGCATGGGCTCATTCTTCAGCTCATTATTCAGCAACAACCTTCCTCCAAACACCATGCAAAATCATAAGCTTCTGTTAGACGCCATAGGACGCAAGGACTTACAATCTTTCGAACAGATTGTGAAGGAAATGTTGGAAAAGGAAC